CACAAACAATGAATCATGGAACACTACATCAAAAACTAATGATGTAATGTATGGTGATTAACAGAACAATAAAAAAATTTAAAAAAAGATTTCCAAACATTTCTATGGACTTGTCTATCTCTACTTTTACTTCAGTCAACTTTTTTACCATGTAATTCAAGCCAAGTTATAAAGATTTATGTATTTAAAAATGGATAATTTCCTGTTGAACTGGTATTTTTATTTACTTTTTGTGATGTATCTTTGATATATATATATATATTTTCAGTGATTTTATTTTCAATTTATGAGTCGAAAAGATTTCTTTGTGATATCTGTAATTTCTCAAGTTTTCATATGATTCTTGTTTGTATTTCCTCTATTGTGAACTATTCATTTATTTTAACTATTTTACTTTTTAGTTTTTTTTTTCTCATTATAAAATATTAGGATCTATTTATGTATTTTTCAAAACATATTTATCAAATGATATATCACATATAGATACTATAAAGTATGGTTACTTTATTTTTTATAATCCAGTACCTATCTTATAAAGCATATTACTAATGTTATTGAAGCTACTCATATTTTTTTCCCATCCCCTTCCTTTCACTCTCCTCAGAGTTAGTAGCAATTTTGAATTTTGTGTGTGTCATCCCCTATCTTTTTTTTTAATAATGTATCTTGGTGCGGACCTCTTTGAGTATACACCAATGTGAAGTTCGTTGCATTTTTTAGCCATTTGAATTCACGTGTTTCACCAAATGGAAAGTTTTAGTCTTTACTTCTTCAGAAATTCTCTCTGCCCTTGTATCTCTCCCCCTCTCCTTCTAAAACCCCCTTAATGCCTATGTTGGTGTCCTCCATGGTGCCTTTTAGGTCTCTTAAATTCTGTTAAATTTTTTTCTATCTTTTTCTTTTCTGTTCTCAAATCAGATACTTTCAATGCCTTATCTTGAAGCTTTCTTATTGTTTCTTCTGTCTGCTCCAATGTGCTGTTGAACCATTGTGATTTATTTTTATTTCAAGTTTTGTAGTTTTCATCTCCAAAATATATTTGGTACCCTTTTTAATAATCTCTACCTCTTTACTAATATTTCTGATTTGTTGACATCATTCTTCTGATTTTCTTTTATTCTTTGTCTATGGTTTCCTTTAGCATGAGCACATTTAAGATACTTGCTTGAAGTCTTTATCTAGTAATCCCAAAGTCTGGGTTGCCTCAGGGCCATACTTTCCTGTTTCTCTGCATGTCTCATATTTTTTGGTGATGAAAAAAGGACACTTTGAATATTATAATGTGGTGATTCTGAAAATCACAAATCCCCCCTTCATAGGGTGAGCACTGTTGCTTATGAGCTGTAGTTATCTCCTGTTTTGTGACTTTTCTAAGCTAGTTTGGCAAAGGCTGTATTTTTTGACACGTGGCCACTGACAGTTCTGCTCCATTATATCAGGTCATCCAGTGACCTAACAGAAATTTTCTTAAATATCTGAAGTAAAAAAGAAAAACAAAACAAAGCAAAAACAACAACAACGACAGAAATTCTTCCTTGGTCTTTGTAGATTGGCTCTGAGCTGTGGAAAGCTGACTAACACTCTGCATTAGCCCTAACCTCTTTCTTATTTATACAGTCCTCAAAGATCAGCCATATGTACAAGCCTCCAGTACTCTCAGGTCTTCTCTGGGTATGATTCTAGCCCTGGTCAGGCACATGTCTCCCAGGATTCCCTGGTATACATGGAACACTTTGAAATCCTTAATCCTCCATATGTCTTCCTCCCCTTCCCAATCCTTTCCGTCTTCCGTCTATTGGCTGTTTGCCATATTTACTATTCTAGCTCCTGATAGCTACAGGTAATATATATTTTTAAATGGTTTCAACCAATGCTGTCCAGGAGGGTACTTTAGCCCCAAGAGTTTTCTGAGGAGGAAAGGACAAAGGAAAGCTTCTGAGCAGATCATTAGGGAACCAATGTCAAAACACAAAACCATAATTCTTTCAGAACAAGGTCTCTATTACCCACTGTGGCATCAGTGATACACACCAAAAACATGAATCATGGCCCCATGACCACCATTCAGCTGCAGGATAAGGGATGGTACATGGACAAATTACCATCATGCTCTATTACCAAAACTTAGCTGTCTTTTTCTTCATTAAGCACTGGCCTGGTTGTTGTAAGATTTTATCAGATTTTCAAGTTTTGAAAAAGTTGATTCTGATGGTTTTTGCCAGCTTACTGGTTGCTTCTGTAGAAGAGCAGACCCTTGGAGCCATAGACTGCACCATTTCCAGTGACATCCTCTGCATTCCTTTGCTTAACATTGTTCTGATTTCTATGTATGTATCACCACAAGGTGTGTAATATTTCAAATGTTCTTTTTACTCAACATTGTAGTTTTCATGATTCTTCTGTGTTGTATACATTTTTGTTTAAAACTGCATTTAGTTATGTATGTTATGATATATATGTATATACATATATATGTATAATGTGTGTGAATATTCCACAATTTATTAATACATCCTTCTCTCAACTGACATTTGTGCTGTGTTGTTTTCAGTCTTTTACTATATCAACTACTACCATGAATACTCCTACTTTTGGTGCACTTTTCACTGTCAGTTCTCTGGGGCATGTAACTGGCTGCTCAATTCTTGGGTTGTGAGGAATGCACATTTTCAGCTATACATGATCATTTCATAATGTACTCAAAGACTTTGTGCTACATATTCTGACCAGCAGTATATACTTTGGCAGTGGTAGTTCTGGGAGTCTCCCAAATTCTTAAAGATGTGAGTCTTTTCAGGGAATAATTTAACAGAATGTCTTTTATATTTGAATAAAACATTTAAGTACACTCAAATTTCTTTTCTTTTTTCTTTTTTTTTTTAAGGACAACAATCGTTTGTTGGCTTCTCTAAAAGCTGGACCAGAGACGGCATCTTCTCTTCCGATCAGGCTGCCCCAACCCACAGTCCCGCCAGAGTGTGGTGGTCCCACTCAGAGCTCCCCGGGGAGCCACCCTGAGACTGGGCAGACACCGGGGACGGGAAGGAAAAAAAAAATCAGGAGAAGCAATACTTTGCAAGTTTTCGTTTGTTTGACAGCAGGTATGGGTTGAGGGGGTTCCTGGGCAGAGCTAATGCCCCGCGTTCCGCTCGGCCTTGTGAAGAGATCCACACTGGCGCTGGTGGTCAAGGGGAACCAGCCAGACGAGATCGGCCGGAATGCACTGATTTTGAGGCTTTGTGTTCATTTCGCCCTTGGCCCCTTCTCCATCGGCTTCCCGATATCCTTCCCCCCGGAGCTTGAGGCCGATAGCTCTCTCGATTTTGCCCAGAACCTGGTTATTAGGAATGGCCCGTTCACTCTCGTAGTCTGCAATGACTTGCGGCTTTTCATTGATTTTCGTTGCCAGGTCCTTCTGAGTCAGCCCCTTGCTCTGCCGGCCCTGCTGGATCACCTTGCCCACCTCCAGGGTCACCCGGTCATGGTGCAGCGACTCAGTCTCCCGGTCCAGCTTGGGCGTGTTCTTGGTGACTGAATGCTGTTTGTTCTGGCCAGGGGCCCATTTCTTGGAAGTCTCCACATCCTCTCCTCGTCTCTGAGCTGCTAAGATGGCCTGCTTGGACTTGGCCTGGGCGGCCGTGGGGCCCTTCTTGCGCAGCACTGTCACCGTGTCCCAGTCGCTCTTGGCCATGGCGGGCATTTATAATTTTTACTTAGGAAGAAGGCCTTTTTATTGAGGTGTTGTGTTGTGCAGTGATCAGTCTTCTTCATCTCCTCTGAACAAATTCCAGTCAAGTGGGATAGATCATGATTACCAGGTTTTTGTTTTTGTTTTTTTGTTTTTATTTAATTCCAGTAGTTAACATACAGTGTAATATTAGTTTCAGGGGTACAATATAGTGATTCAACACTCCCATACAACACCCAGTGCTCACCACAAATACACTCCTTAATCCTCATCACCTATGGAACTCACCCACCCACCCACCTCCCCACTGATAACCATCAGTTTGTTCTCTGTAGTTAAGAGTCTGTTTCGTGGTTTTCTTCTCTCTTTTTCCCCCTTTATTTGTTTTGTTTCTTAAATTTCACATTTTAGTGAAATCATTTGGTTTTTATGTTTCTGTCACTGACTCATTTCACTTAACATAATACTCTCTAGCTCATCCATGTCATTGCAAAATTTTGTTCTTTTTTATGGCTGAGTAATAGTCCATTGTGTATATATATATATATATATATATATATATATATATACACACACCATATCTTCTTTTTCCATTCATCTGTCAACGGACACTTGTACTATTTCCATAACTTGGCTATTGTAGATAATATTGCTATAAACATGGAGCTGCAGGTATCCCTTTGAATTAGTATTTTTTCATTCTTTGGGTAAATACCTAGTAGTGCAATTGCTGGATCATAGAGTAGTTCTATTTTTGACTTTTTGAAGAATCTCCATACTGTTTTCTAGAGTGCCTGCACAAGTTTGCATTCCCACCAACAGGGCAAGAGGATGTGTGATCCCCCTTTCTCCACATCCTCACCTGCACCTGTTGTTTCTTGTGTTGTTGATTTTAGCCATTCTAACAGGTGTGAGGTAACTGTAGTTTTGATTTGTATTTCTCTGATGATGAGTGATGCTGAGTATCTTTTCATGTGTCTGTTAGCCATATGGATGTCTTATTTGGAAAACTGTCTATTCATATCTTCTGTCCATTTCTTAACTAGATTATTTGGGGGTTTTTTGGGTGTTGAGTTTGATAAGTTCTTTATAAATTTTAGATACAAACTCATCAGATATGTCATTTGAAAATATCTTCTCCCATTCTGAAGGTTGCCTTTTAGTTTTGTTGACAGTTTCCTTCAATGTGCAGAGGCATTTTATTGTACCTAGAGGTGAACCCACAACTATATGATCAATTAATCTTTGATAAGGCAAGGAAGGACTATCCAATGGAAAAAGTCTCTTCAGCAAATGGTGTTGGGAAAACTGGACAGCAACATGCAAAAGAATGAAACTGGACCACTTTCTAACACCATATACCAAAACAAAATGAAATGGACTAAAGACTTAAATGTGAGACATGAAGTTGTGAATATTCTAGAGGAGAACACAGGCAGTAACCTCTTTGACAACAGCCATACCAACTTCTTTTAGATATGTCTCCTGAGGCAAGGGAAACAAAAGCAAAAAATAATCTATTGGGACTTCATGATTTTCAGTTTTACTCTATCTAAAGTATACTGATAAATTGAAGACAATTTTGTAAGAGTTCATAACAAATATATTTAAAAACCAGCTGCCTAAACTCAGGTGTGTTTTCCAGGACCATTGAATTAAAATTTCATTGAATTAAAATGATCAAATAAATGAATTAAAATGAAAGTTGAATCTTAGCTTCTGACTGATACTTAACTGTCAGTGATATGTTTTCTTGAATTATTAATTTGTTTGTCACATATTTCTCCCTCCAATTTTCATTTTTTCTTTATAATAAAAAGCAACATGTATATGAAAAATGAGATTAACTAAGGGGATAAATATTAGAAAGATCCATCAGTGAGTCTTTTGTCTTGAATAATTAATCTAGTAATATTTTATCAGGATGAGCTAAGTTGTGCTGCTGGAAGAAACAACCCCCAAATCTTAGTTGCTTCACAGAAAAAAAAAAAAAAATTCTTGTTTGCTTTATGTGCCCAATGTAGGTTAAAAAGGAGCTGCTTATTTCACTCACTCTGGAATAGACACTATTACAGCCTTCACCTTATCACATGCATCTACAGTGTTTTTGGTCAAGATAAAGGGAATATAGTGAATTACACACTAGCTTTTAACGTTTCCAACTAGAAATGAGATATATCACTTTCACTCACTTTGCATTGATCAAAGTAAGATACAATCACGAAGAGTTTCAAGGAGGCAGGGAAGTGTAATATCACCATATGCTGGACAATGGGAGAATTAGAGATATTTGGTAAACAGCCATAATGTTCAGGGTCAGCATTTTTAAGATCAAATATTCAGTCCAATTTCTGCATCTCAGAAAAAAGCATCCATATCTTCCCAAGCTATACAACCTCAAGTTCTGTGCAATCACAGAACCAAGTCAAAGTCTGTTAATCTTGGGTGATCCATGGTAGTGGCTCCTCTCGATTAACTAAGTCAAGAAAAGTGAAACAAATGAGCATTTTCTTGATGAACTAAAACTAAATGTTCTCTTGATCAACTAAAATAAATAAATTAACTAATAAGTAAACTGTCTCTGAATTCTCACAAAAATCTTGCATCTTTAAGATTTTATTTATTTATTTGAGAGAGAGAGAATGAGAGAGAGATAGAGAGCACGAGATGGGAGAGGGTCAGAGGGAGAAGCAGACTCCCTGCCGAGCAGGGAGCCCAATGTGGGACTCGATCCCGGGACTCCAGGATCATGACCTGAGCCGAAGGCAGTCGCTTAACCAACTGAGCCACCCAGGCGCCCAAAATCTTGCATCTTTAAAAAACCAAACATGGTAGGGGCGCCTGGGTGGCTCAGTTGGTTAGGCGACTGCCTTTGGCTCAGGTCATGATACCAGAGTCCTGGGATCGAGTCCCTCATCTGGCTCCCTGCTCAGCGGGAAGCCTGCTTCTCCCTCTCCCACTCCCCCTGCTTGTGTTCCCTCTCTCACTGTCTCTCTTTCTCTCTTTGTCAATTAAATAAATAAATAAAATCTTAAAAAAAATAATAAAAATAAAAAACCAAACATGGTAAACACTGATATGCAACAATTCTGAAATTCACCAGAAAAATTTTGAGACTTCCTCTACCTTAAGTGTGGGGAACATCCCTTAAAAATAGTCCTTTTTTTTTTTCTTGAAAGAGATTCCCTAGTCAAATTTTTCCTGAGATCATTATTTTATTCTCTTGAAGATTCATTTATCCATATTTTTACATTAAATATATTAAGGTAGACAGTGGAGAATAAACATTTCTTGGGGACTGAGCAAATTTTTAAGCATATTTCCACAGATAAATTTGGGATCTCTGGCATCTTTGTAAGTCTCAAGAAGTTAAAGCCTTGTTTATTTTGGGGGTATGGTTTGCTTGATAGGATAACTTTCTTAAACACCTACTGAGCTTCTTATCTATTGGATCCCAGTCAGATCCCAGGACAATAACTACACCTATAAATCCTTTCTAGATTTAATTATCATAATTGCTACATTTCTTCCTTTTTTGCCCTATGTTTGTCTTTCTCAATTTAGCTGTGGGAGTCTTTGATAGGAGAGCAACACCTTAAAGACTTTTTTTTTTTTCCAGTGCCAGGAATCCAAATGAAAAAAAAAAAGAAAATACTGGCACCAGTTTAATCCATTCAGTGTCTTAAAGTTTCTTTGGTACTCAAAACATTTCTAAATTTTATCTTTTACTGTTTTTTATTGAAAAGCAGTTGCTTTACCTAATTCTAAAATTTCCTGGAATTGTATATCTCTGTACCTCTCCATTAGTCATTTTTTCTTTAATTTTATTTTATCATGCTATGTTAGTCACCATACAGTACATCATTAGTTTTTGATGTAATGTTCCATGATTCATTGTTTGCATATAACACCCAGTGCTCCATGCAATACATGCCCCATTAGTCTTTATATTGTCTAGCAAACTGGCGAGTTCTTTCTTAAATTTCTCATATGTAATACCTTGTACTATTCAGGGAATATCAACAAATCCTTGCTAAAAACTTTATTTTCAAAATTTTTAATCAAAGAATTCAAGTTCTTTATGTACACAAAAAGCTGTCCAAGTGATCATAGGCTACAGTTTTATCAAATGTTCTGGCCATTGCAGAACGTTGATCACTATATATTCAGACTTCTATGACAGATGCTTCACCACTTACTACTCATGGTATAAGCCAACACCACCACCCCTTACAGTGTTTGTTTCTATACCTGTTTCTGTTTTTTGTTGTTATGAAATCAACTCCCTCTTGGTGATTCTAAAATCCCCATCATCTAAATCAATTACAAAGGCCAAGGTTTTAATTAACAACTATAATTAACTGCTATAATTAACAACTCCAAATCATAGCACTTCACAAAATAAAGTTTATTTTCCATTCCTGCTATATATGGAATTGTTATCTGCTTATTATGCCTACTCAGCTAAACGTTGCATACAACTGATACAATTTCCAACGTAGTAAAAAAATTAACTGGCAAATCTCCCTCTGGCTTTCAAAGTGTTTACATGGCCCTAACATACATCCCTTTCACTCACAACCTCTTTTATTTTTTTTAACAGATTTATTTATTTTTATTAGAAAGAGAGTGAGCAAGGGGAGGGGCAGAGGGAGAGGGACAAGGAGAGGGAGAGAAGCAGACTTCCTGCTGATCTCAGAGCCCAACATGGGACTGGATTTCAGGACCCTGAGATCATGGCCCTGAGATCATGACCAGAGTCTGATGCACAACGAACTGAGCCACCTAGGTGCCCCTCACTCACAACTTCTTAGCCATAAAAGGTCACAGGACTGTACCTATTTTAAAAGTTTTAAGAATATATTAGACTACTACATGCATGGAAAGAAAAAAAAACAAAATTTTGGTAAGTGGTAATTAAGGCTAAAGTTTTTAATTCTCTTTATTGTCTTTATATAGGGATTTTCCATGTTTATGTGGAATATATATATTTATATATTATAT